CAGAACCCTCTCCCCGCTCTCCTCACACAAGGCAGCTCTGCCCCCTGGTGGCTGACCGCTGGCAGCTCTGACAGCTCCAGGCGCTGCACTGTATACTCCCCCTGCCTCTCCCTACCCGTCTCCCCCTGCCTCTCCCTACCCGTCTCCCCCTGCCTCTCCCTACCCGTCTCCCCCTGCCTCTCCCTACACGTCTCCTCCTGCCTCACGGTGTTTGCTCTGGCTCTTCCCTCTGCCTTCCTGAGCCTTGCTCCTCATCCTTCAGGTTTCTGCTTCGATGTGAGCCCCTCCCCTGCCTCTCTCTCCATCTGCTTCCCAGCGTTATGTCTGTCCACGCCGTTGAGCACCGTCTGATATATTATATGCTGTACTCACTTCTCTAGTCTACGGGCTGTCTCCTTGCACTGGAGTGTCAGCTCCTTGAGGGCAGGGGTCTTGTCCATTTTATTCACTGCTGTCCCCCTCATGCCCAGAACAGTACCTGACATACAGTAAACCCATTGCCATTGAGACAATTCTGACTCTTAGTGACCCCGTAGGACAGAGTAGAACTGCTCCATAGGGTTTCCAAGGCTATAATCTTTAAGGAAGTCGACAGCCACATCTTTCTCCTCCAGGACAGCTGATGGGTTTGAACCCCTAACCTTTCCGTTAGCAGCCATGTGCTTAACCACTCACCACCAGGGCTTCTTTGATATACAGTAGGTGCTCATTAAATGTGAGGTGCAGGAATGAAGAAAAGCTTACAGGCTGCCAGGGCAGGGCTTGGCCAGGAGTGTCCACTCACTCATCTGCTTGGTGTCCCCAGAGCTGGCTACCTGACCCTGTACGGAGTTGAGGCACTGCCACGCACCCATCAGAGCCAGGCCCAGGACTGCATCCACTCGGCCGACGTCTTCCACACCTTCCGCCAGCTCGACCTGCTGCTCCCCAAACTGGCACGCGGCTCCCTGTCAGTGGGTGAGCATCGTGGGGGCCCTGGAGGGTGGGGGAACAATGGCAAGACCTAGAGAGGGCGTCCAAGCTCAAGGTGCAGGATCAGAGGCAACATAGAAGGAAGGACAGCCTAATATTCTGGGAAGCAGTAAGATCCCCGTCATCGGAGGCATGCAAGAGCAAAGTGCCAGAGAGGGAGGACTTGGACATTCTGAGTCAGTACATCTGCCGTTAGCCTGGGAATCTTGTGTGTGTGTGTTTCTTGTTTTAAGTATTTTAGTTGTTTTTAGAAAGTTTATACAAGTAGTTCATGCTCATTACGAAAAATTAATGATTTATGTAGAATACTGATTTCTATAGAATAATACAGAGAGAATAATAAAATTCTTCTCCATTTTACCTCCGCCCCAGTTCACCTCTCCTCTCCACAAAGGTTACCACAATCAATAGCCAGTTTGGAGTACATCCTGGCAGAGCTTTTTCTAAACAGACACCTACACACACACATACATTATTTTTATTATTTTCTATTTTTTAAGATGTTTCTTTATTTTTTCACTGCGGGGCGGGGGAAGGTATCCTTTACACGGAGGCAATGGTGGTTCAGTTGTTGGGTTCTTGCCTTGCACGTGGGAGACGGGATCAGCTCCTGACCAGTGCACCAAAAGGGAAACGCCTGCTGGTTTCCCACCAGATGTTATCAACCTTCCCACTTGTTTGCTGATCTGATGGGCAGACGAGAGTGACTTACTGTTTTAATTTGCATTTCCCCATAACCTGTCAGCATGGAGTTATCAGTCTTCAAAATCTTGGCCAATCTGATGGACAAAAAAAAAAAAGGCCTCTGGCTTTAGACAGCGGTTCCCTGACCGCTGTGATGAGACATCTTGTAGTGTTTCACCAGACATGTGCATCCCCTCTTTGTGAGTTGCCTATCCATGTTCCTTACCGTCTTTTGGGGAGCGTTGGTGGTTCAGTGGTGGAATCCTCGCCTTCCGTGTGAGAGACCCGGGTTCGATTCCCAGCCAGTGCACTCACGCATAGCACCACTGTCTGTCATTGGAGGCTGGCATGTTGACCAGGTGTCTGTGGAGCCGCCAGACTAAGGAAGACCAGGGAGAAAGGCCTGGCAGTCTGCTTCCAGAGATCAATCCTTCAGTGGAGACCCTATGAACCACAGTGGTCCAGTCTGCAGCAGATCGCAGGGCTGGCACAGCACAGGCATTTTGTTCTCTTGTGTACAGGGTCGTTGTTATGAGTCGGGTCAAGCAACTCATCAATGGCTAAGAACGGCAGCTCATCTTTTTAGAGGCGACTCACTGCCTTACTGAGCCCTGCCACCAATGCTGGAAGGTTGCGTTATTATCCCCATTTTGCAGCTGAGGAAACTGAGGCTCAAAAAGGTGAAGACGCTTATTATAGGCACACAACTGGTAGGCAGCAGCCCAGCAAAATGGAAACTTGATCTGAGTGCAAGAGATCTTCTGCAGGAGTGTGGTTTCTGCAGGAGAGTGGTTTCTCGTGCCTCTCCCCAGTAGAGTCTGATAGATGCAGAGAAGAACCCTCATCCTTCTGGGAGCAGCCCTGGGCTGAGAATAGGAAGGCCCGTTTCCCAGTGTGGGCAGCAGGGGGCGGTATTGGGGAAGGTTTCTCATCTTAGAAAATAGGTCCCGTGGAATGTGGGTGAGCAAAGCTCTCCCAGACCTTGTTATGGGATGTATGAGTGATGTGGGCTCTTCAGAAGAGCAATTTGGCAGAACCTCTCAAAACACAAGATGTGTTGATCCTGTACTGCAATGTCTAGGAATTTATCCTACAGAGATTCCTACCTATGCACTACTATGACATGACTTGTAATAGCAAATGCCAGAAACAAATGTCCACCATTAGGGGCTGATTAAATCAATTATGCATTCATATAAAGAAGATCATTGCAATTGCAAAACAAATTGAGATGTATTGCTGTAAGATGCAATCGGCTACAGGCAGACCTCGGAGAAACTGCGGGTTCAGTTCCAGACCTCCACAAATGGGGAAATATAGCAATAAAGTGAGTCACATGAACATTTTGGTTCCCAAGTGCATATAAAAGTTATGTTTACACTGTACTTAATCTATTAAGTGGGAAACAGTGTGACGAGAAACTGTGAAGTATTGTGAAAATTCCAATAGACTCACTCAGTGCAGGATTGCCTCAGACTTTCCATTTGCAAACAAATGTAATAAATGCTAGGCACAATAAAGCAATGTGCAATAAAACAAGGTATGCCTGTACTAAGAAGAAAAAAAGCACAGTGCAGACCGGTAGCACGGATACTTTTTATAAATGCAGGATAGCCACTGTCACTGAGTTGATTCTGACTCATAGTGACCCCCAATGGGTTTCTGAGGCCGTCAATCTTTATGGAAGCAGACTACCTCATCTTTCTCCCATGGAACAGCTGGTGGGTTTGAACTGCTCACCTTCTGATTAGCAACCCAGTGTCTTACCCACTGCGCCACCAGGGCTCCTGAAATGCAGGATAAGTGCGTTTTTGCCTGTAGAAAGTCTGAGATGGGATGGAGAGAGACTGACGTTTGCACTCTACCCGCTTGAAATATTTGCATTTCTTTTTTGAAAAAGAAGTTATTTTATTGTTGTTGATGTTGAGAATACACACACAAAACATACATCAATTCAACAGCTCCTGCGTGGACCATTCAGTGAGTCCCAGTGATGACGTTCTTCAGGTCATCCACCGTTCTCTCCCTCCTTTTCCAGATTGCTCCTCCCCTAGTAACGTGCACTCACTAACCCCCTAAGCGTTGCTAACCTTTAGAGTTGCTGCTGTCAATTTGATCTCATATACAGAGTTCTCATTCTTTTTCTTCTTATTATAATTTTTTACCATGTACGTGCATGACTCCTCCTCCACTCTTTCAAGTATACACATTTTTTAAAAGAAAGTTGTCTCTCTGGGGACCCTGTGGCTATTGAGTGTGGTGCTCCTCAACAGGAGGGTGTTGGGGTGGTGGGCAGTTGCAGAGCCCCAAGCTAAGCATAGTGCTTCCTTCTGGAAAGTTTATTTTCCTGGCTTATTTGGGGGCTGTTTCACCTGAATATCGCTACTTTGGAAAAAGGCGTTCTTCTATTGAAGAATCAGGGTCTGATGGAAAAGCTTAATGGACTTCATTGTAAGACTCATACATTAAAGACATGTCCCCACTAGGGACTTCTCTGGCCTGTGCCACCCAGATCTCCAGGAGATTGGAGGGGTTTCCAAAGAATAACTTGAGAGGTACTCACATCTGGCACCCCCATCTTACAGATGGGGAGACTGAAGTTCAGAGGTTGGCAGGGCCTTGGCCAAAGTCCTAGAGCTTGGAAGGTGTGGGATTTGAACCTGCCTCTCCCACCCCTGGCTGCATCGCCTGGCACCTGGGCTGGCATTTCTGATGCACAACACTGAGTCCTTGCCCAGAGGCCAGACCAAACATTCCGATTATAAAATAATGACATGGAAATCTCCCTCCCTTTCTGCCACGCTCTTCCACCCAGCTCCCACCCCCACAATTTATCAGTTTCCTGTGGATCCTTCCAGGGTCCCTTAATACAAATGCAAGTCCACGTGACTGGATCCTTATTTTTCTCTTTTTCCACGAGTGCGTCCCAAACATTATTATGAGCTCTTTGCTTTTTCTAACAGTACATAGTAAAACCAGCTGCTGTGGAGTCTGACTTTGACTCGTGGCCACTCCATAGTGTCAGAGTGGAGCTGTGCTCCGCAGGGTTTTCAATGGCTGACCATTACCCCTCATCAGTAGATCACCAGGCCTTCTCCTGAGGTACCACTGGGAGCCCGCGAACACACACATATGTACATGCATACATATGCTATTGTAGTGTAGCTTTAAAACAATGTCACGTGACATCCTCCTGCACAGTCTTCAGACTTCTGCTTTATACCCTTGGCAGTCTGCCCATCGGGGTGTCTGCCTGCCTGTGAAGAGCCTCCTTATTTTTCTCAAGGTCGCCTGGCTTTCCAAGGCACAGGCACGCCACAGTTCATTTAACAGTGACTGTGGACTGGTGACCTGCGGGCCAACACTGACGTGCAGATGCTTAAACATTTAATTAGATGCTGACATTAAAAAACATCACAAGAGTCCAGCTTCTTCTCAGAGCTCAGGCACTCTGGCTGTGCTGGGCTCTTTTTTCTCTGTTGAGCCTGGGAGAGGCCTGTCCGTGGAGCTGAGTAACCCCTTCCTGGCCCTTCTCTCTCGTTGACGTCGCCTGCCTTTCCTGGAGGTATTTGAGTTTCAGACCCCACATCGCCCCATCCCAGCCCATGTCTCCTTGAGTGATGCTGTGCTGAGCCCACCCCTGTGGGTCTTTGCATACTGTGGGCTGGCGTTGCTCTGGGATCAATGCCCCAGGCAGGGGGATGCTCTGGTGTTCAGGGTTCTTTCTCCTCCGTGTAAAGAAACACCACTATCTAAAAGTAGGTAGTGAGCACCTGCTACGGACGAGGTGTTGCACACACAGGTGAATAAAATAGACAAGGCCCCCCGCCTCCCCAGGAGACGAGGCCCCTGGCCCCTTCCCAGTGGGGATGGCCCAGGCTGTAAGCAAATCCACATTGAAAGGGCTCCCCACTGGGACCTCCCAGAAGACAGGACCTGTCCCTGTGGCCTCATGCTCACAGGAGCAACCCCACCCCATGGAGTGCACCCAGAAGACCCCTGGCTTCATGGGAGGGGCAGGGCAGGCCTGGGCTGAGGGTGGGTCTGGACCCCCACCCTCTGTGCTCTGTCCCTTCAGGGGATAAGGACCGTGTGAGCAAGGCCAAAGGTCGCTTGTGGAAGCTGCTGTCCCCTACCAGACTGGCCTCCCGGGCCCACCGGAGCACCTGGCTGGAAAATTACCTGTTGCACCTGGAGGAGATGGGGGTGTCAGAGGAGATGCGGGCACGGGCCCTGGTGCTGCAGCTCTGGGCCACACAGGTGGGCATGGGTGTGCGAGAGCATGTGGGGGTGTGTGCAAGTACATGTGTGTGGGATCGGGCATGTGTGTGGGTATTCATGCAGGTTTGTGTGCACTGGTGTGTATGTGTGCCCGCAGGTTTGCACGGTGAATCCACATCCATGGGGATCCACATGCCTTGTGTGTGTACGTGTATGCATTCATGTGTGTGTGCACATAGGTGCACATTTGTAAATGTGTGCATGCATGTTCTGGTTTGCGTCATGAGGGCACATGGATGTGTGCGTGCACGGGTATGCACATGCATGTGTGTGCATGCATTTGTGTGTGTGCATTCTTGTAGGTATACATTTGTAAGTGTGCATAAGTGTGGGTATGTGTGTACTGACACAGCTCCCTGACTTCTTAACTGTCAAACAGCATCATAGATGGGATCATCTAAAATCTAAAATTAAAAAATTTGTTTTGGAAAAATGTCAGAGTTATAGAAAGTTTGGAGAATCGTTTCATGACCTCCTGTGCAGTTCACTGTTTCCCCAGTTGTTACCATTTCACTGTATTTGCTGTATCTCTCTCCCTTTCTCTGGTTAGGGTGTTAAACTATTTGGAAGATGTTGTGCACATTAGGACTCTTTAGCCCTAATTACTGATTATGCCTGATGAGTGCGGCTGGACCTGAGGAGCTAGCTCATTTTTACACGGCACGCACAGTGATCAGATTCAGGACTTCTCACCCGGATCCATGGTCGGGATGAACACCGATCCATATTCCACTTTATCCAGCTGTCCCATCCTGTCCTTCTGGCTCTTCTTGGTTCAGGATCCAATCCAGGAACACGTGTGGCCTTCAGTCCTCCCACCCCCTTAGTCATCTTTAATGTGGAAGATTCTGTGCTTTTCTTTGTCTTTCATGACCTTGGCATTTCTTAAGTGGACAGACTAGTTATTTTGGAGAATCGTTTAAAAGTTCCATGGAGTCCTTCCCATAGAGCACAAAGCCTCTGCTCCAGTGATGTTTACACTTTAGTTGGAATGGAACAGACGGTCAAGGAAACACACACAGTGGTTTTAGATGTGGATATGCAGGATACACATGGGAGTCATGGGTAGAGAGATCCATCCATGCAGGGTGGCGAAGGGGCCTCACTCATTGAGCTGAGCCCTGGGTGACAGAAAGAACTAGATGCAGGGATTTGAGGAGGGGTTGGGGACAGACCATTCCAGGCAGGAAGCAGCAGGTGCAAAGGTTCTGAGCCTGTCTCAAGCCAGTCGTTCAGGAAACAGGAGCCAAACATGGCTGAAGCAGTGACTGGTGGGGAGTGTGACTGAGGAGACCACAGGAGTCTGGGGAGTCCAGGGAAGGACTTGGGCTTTTTCTCTGGAGACATGGCAGCCCTGAGACGGACTCTCACTTGGCTTTGAACAGAATCCCTCTGGCTGCTACAAGGGAGTGAGGGCAGAAGTAGGGACACCATGGGGAGGTCCCTGCAGTTGTCTAGGTGAGGATGATGGTGGCAGGACCAGGTGGTGGCTGAAGGACTGTGAGAAGTGGACATGTTCTGGATACAGCGGGAAGGGTAATGGCCCCAGAACTGGGATGAGAGGAAGGAGTGGCCAAGGATGCTGCAAATCTCCAGACCTGGTCCCAGCCTCACCCCTGGCCCCCAATCCCTCCTCTTGGCCCCAGCTCAGCAGTGACATTTGCACAGGCTGATTTTCTGAGAAACTCCTCTCCCATCGACTCATGACTTATTTTTAGTTTTCCCTTAGAGCCATTAACTGTCCTTCCAGGCAGAGGCAATGAGGGGTGGGGGCTGTGTTTAAGGAGCAGCTGCCCCCCACCCTAGTGCCTAATGGCATATTTATGGGCAGAGGTGACTTGAAGTTTCAAAGCATCCCCAGAACCCCTTGTGGAAACGTTCTCCTTCAGCAGAACTGGATGGCCCCTGGGGGCTGGAGTGGCAGAAGACCCAGGAACAGCCTTTGGTGGGGCCGGGAGAACTAGGCAGGAGTCAGGCGCAGGGCGCCCTCTGAGTTGAGCCATTGGCAGTGTCCAGACACAGGCAGGTGTGGGAATCAGAGCAGGGCCATTAGGCTGAGTGGCTCAGTGGTTTCAGGCCCAGACTGTGACCAGCCTGTCTGGATTTGTATCCCGACTGCTACTTAACCTCTCTGGGCCCCAGTGGAGATGGTAGCACCTTCTTCCAGGCTTTTGTTCTGTGGATGAAAGGAAATGACACATGTACAATTCTTGTCACTGTGCTCGATAAACATAATCAACAACATTAGTGAGCGCCTGCTGTGTGCCAGGCACATTCCAGAAGCTAGAATAGATAGAGCAGGGAACAGGGCAGATCAAAGTCCCTTCCTTCTGATGCTGCCGTTCTGGTGGTTTGGGGAAGAAGCCTGAGAGTTTGCTTTGGGTGTGTGGGGCTTGAGAGGGCATGTGGAGGCAGGTAGGGCACCTGGAGGTAAGAGCCTGGAGCCCTGGGTTAAGGACTGGCTGGGGACAGGCCTATGGGAGTTGTTGGTGAGATGCAGTGTTTACAGACACTGGACCAGAAGGGTTCCCTGGGGACAGGGTAGGTGGCAAAGGGGACCAACCCCCGGGCCTCAGGCTGTCTTCCCAGGGATGGGAAGATGAGGAGGAGCCAGCAAAAGAGATTGAGTTACATGGCCCAGGTGGTGGAGCTCTGGAAGGGACATGGTCCAGAGGTTTGCTGAGAAAGTAAGCGTTTGGGGAAGTGGGAGTGAGCAACCCTATCAGATGCCCAGTGGATCACTGACTGACTGGCCAGGGCTGAGCCACATGTCCACACGAGGGGAATGGATCAGCCTTCATACAACCCACATGGACTGAAAGCTAAGTGGAGATGGTTCTCTGAAGGAAAATGGGGTGCTGTCACCCAAAGGAGAGGAAATGGATGTGGGGCAGGTGGCATTGCAGGCGTCTTGCCTCCCCCACTGACTGGGCAGCCTCAGTGCAGTGAGGAGGCAACAAGATGGCGCCCACAACTCGCCAAGTCTATGACAGTGAGCACCCTCTGGTGGTCAGCTACTGTAATTGTTAGAAGAGGTAAGAGAATATGGACTTAGGGTGCAACGGGAGGGGATGTGGTTAGACTGAAAATGCCCTGGTAAACTGAGGCAAGCCCCCACCGGAGGAAATCTCAGCTCCCAGGAGAGCTAATTTAGCGTCGAAGATGGCTATGTGACCTGACACATGAATGTGTGCAAACACATGCACGCTCACACACACATCTGCATAGCAGGGAGAGGTGATCTTGATCACCTCCTTAACCTGTCACGGCTTTTTCCCAAAAGCAGAGCTGAGTGCTTGTGGATTCCACCCCAGCTTTGTAATTAATGAGTAGTGGCTCTGGCTGACCATCAGGGCAAGATGAATGGCTTGGTGCAGAGGTAGCCCAATGCTGAATTATTTATTGCCCATGTTCCTTTGGCTATTTATGTGATGGACAGTGAGTGACCTTGCTGTCCGTGTCCAGCCCGAGGTGCTGCAGGAAATCTCAGTGAGGGCCAAGTCCTTTCCCATTTATTCTAAAACCCAGGACAATTAGACTTGCAGACATTGTCATTATCCTAGGGATGAATCATCATTTATTTCATTGATCAGCGTATTGATAGACACTGAGGCTGTTTCTGGTCTTTTGCTACTCCATCAGCCCTGCAGTAAACCCCTCACGTGCATGTCCTTCTTCCCATGTGAGAGTATGTCTCTAATGGAATTACTGGGTAAGCAGGACATTTAGTATTTAATTAAGGAGTTCTGGTGGCATAGTGGATAAGGCATTTGGCTGCTAACCAGAAGGTCAGCAGTTCAAACCCACCAGCTATTCCGCCAAAGGAAGATGGGGCAAACTACTTCCGTAAAGATTTACAGCCTCAGAAACCCATGGGGGTTGTTATGAGTCGGAATTGACTCGATGGCAGTGGGTTTGGTTTGGTTTGGTGGTGTAGTGGTTAAAGCATTTGGCTGCTAACCAGAAGGTTGGTGGTTCGAACCCATAAGCTACTCCACAGAAGAAAGATGAGGCAGTTTACTTCTGTAAAGATTGATAGCCTTGGAAACCCAATGGGGGTTGCTGTGAGTCAGAATCAACTCGATGGCAGTGGGTTGGGGTTTTTGGTTGAGTTTTCCATAATTATGAGTGGATAGGGTAGTCATTATGCTTGACAAAAATTCCCTCAGATGCAGTTAGTTGGTGTTCCACCTGTTATGGATTGAATTGTGTCCCACTCAAGATACGCTGAAGTCCTAACACTTGAACCTGTGACTGGGACCTTGTCTGGGGAAGTCGGGTCTGTCTTTGCAGATGTTAGAGTCATATCAGAGTAGGGGGGCCCATTCCTAATTCCTTCTGAGGTATCTTATAAAAAGGAAGAACAGACTTGGAGAAACCAAGTCACACACACTGGAGAAAAACAGCATGTGAGCGTCTGCCGATAAGCCAAGGAATGCCAAGAAATGCCCAGGGCTACGGAAGCTGAAAGAGACTGAAAGGATCTTTCCCTAGAGTTGTTGGCAAACAGAGAGGGACAGCACAGCCCTGCAGATGCCCTGCGTTTGCACTTCCAGCCTCCAGAACTGTGAGAAAATAAATTTCTGTTCTTTCAAGTCTCCCGTTTTGTTTCTTATGGCAGCTCTGGGACACTGATTGAATGGCGACAAGAGCAAAGGACACTAAGACACCACATGTGTCTGGAGCTCATTCCAACTCAGCCACACGTGAAAGAGCTGAGATGGGCGTGAGATGTTCAGCTGAGGCTGAAGCCTTGGAGAAAGAAATCCACTCATTTTCTCCTACTCATTGCACTATCAAAAAGTTATACATAATTTTTGTTCAAGAAATGAACGGCGTTTGCAATCACCGTTGCTTATTGCTACATTTTGCTTTGTATGTATGTACATACACATCCACACAGACACGTCTTCAAATGACTGATTTGAAGCACATAAAGCATACAAGGGAATTTTATATCCAAAACTACCTTGAGAATGATTAACTACATTTGAAAGCAAATATTTAGTATGAACCTAGATAGCCTCAGAGTCAATGATTTTGCTCAAGTTCATTGGCCCAGGCCAAGGACACAAAGCAGATTTGGGCCATGTCCTAAGACTGGAGGTAGACACTGTCATCACTAGACATTTGGCTGATGTGGGAACTCAGGCCTACTGACCCCTATGCCTTGGCCAGGGCTGTGTCCATGACGTAGACCAGGCAGCTCATACCCCAGGCCTGGCCTCTTGCTGGTGTAACAGGGGTTCCTTCTTGTTGCAGGGGAATATGGGCCCCGCCACCTTCTGGCTCCTGCTCTTCCTCCTGAAGCATCCCGAGGCCATGGCCGCCGTCCGTGAGCAGCTGGAGCACACGCTGCAGAGAGTGGAACAGCCTGTCTCACAGATGACCACCCTCTCACAGAAGGTTTTAGACAGCATGCCTGTGCTTGGTGAGATGCCAGACCCTCTGAGGTGGCCCCGAGCCCTCCCTAGCACAGCTCCCATCCCCCAGGGTCATCTGTGTCCTCTGACTAGGACCTCCCTGGACCTTCTGTCTTCTTAGATATCTCCACACCCTGGTCTCAGCTGCCCGAGATTCATGGTTTCAGTGGGACATTTTGGTTGCAAGTAATGGAAGACCTAACTTGAACAGTCTTAAGCAGACAAGGGGCTTTATTTAGCCATGTAACAGAAAGTCCAGCAGTGTCTGATCCAGGCACAGGTGGATCCAAGTGCTTGAACAGTGCCACCAAGACTCAGCCACTCCCCATCTCAGCTCGTTTTCCATGTCTTGGCTCCAGTAGCTAGGCTGCCAAGATGGCTGCCAGTAGCGCCAGAGGTTGACATGCTCTCAGCTCTTTAAGGGTGTGTCTTGCTGGCAACTCTTGAACATTCCTACCAGAAGTCCCAGGAGTGTGTCTCACTGGCTCCGTTTGGATTATATGCTCATCTCGAATCAGTCATGGGATGCAGAGGGCCGGGATGCTCCGATTGGCCAATCACAGCTCGGTCTCAACAGTTGAGAGTCAAATCAACAATGGCCAAACCCCTGAGAGTGGGGCAGAGGTGGCCCCCAGAGGAAAACCAGGGGTTTGTGGCCAAAGGACAGGGCAATGTATGTAGGGAGGTGGAAATAACCAGTACCGATGGCCCTGAGCTCTGGTAGCGTAGTGCCTAAGGCACGTGACTGCTAACCAGAGGGCTGGCGGTTCAAACCCACCAGCCTCTCCTCGGAAGCAAGTTTGGGCAATCTACTTCCATAGTGATATTGCCTCAGAAACCCAAGGAGGGGTCGCTGTGAGTTGGGTCCAACTTGATAGCACATAACAACAACAACATCTTTTCCTAAGTCCTCTTAGATATCTCCCTGGCTCCTTCCTTCTCTTATAACTTCTCTTGGGACTGGAATCTTCTCATGCCCAAGGTCTCGGAGGGGCCACAGTGATCAACTCTCATTATCTGGCCTTTTTCAACTTTGCTGTGCGCCCATGGGCAAGTCACAAGTCACACACCCTCTCAGAGCCTCCTCACCTTTCTCTGTATAAAGAGGGTTGGGAGTGGCATGTGAGCCGGGAGTGGATAACCTGCTGACCCTTCCTTGCACCTACACCCATGCAGACAGTGTGCTGAATGAGAGCCTCCGACTCACAGCTGCACCCTTCATCACACGTGAGGTCATGGTGGACCTGGCCATGCCCATGGCAGATGGGCGGGAATTCTCCCTGCGACGTGGTGACCGCCTCCTCCTCTTCCCTTTCCTGAGTCCCCAGAAGGACCCAGACATCTACACAGACCCAGAGGTAAATGTCAGGAAGTCTAGTCATTGAGAAACTCTATAGCGTTGAGATTAGCCAGATCTGAGTGGCAGCCTGGCTTTGCTTTTTGTTTGCTATGTGACCTTGCACAAGTTGCTTCACCTCTCTGTGTCTCTGTTTCCTTACCTGTGAAAGGGACATAATAGTATCTGTCTCACAGAGTTGTCATGAAGATTCATTGAGATCATGCTAAAAAAAAAAAAAAAAGGCCTTCCCAGTGCCTGGCATACTGAGCGCTCTGTAAGGGATACCTGTGAATGGTATGACTGAGTGATTTTCTTTTTTCAGAATGTTATAATCTGAAATTCTCAACACCTCTCCTGGACTTCAAGATGAGGCAAACTTTCATCATTATTAATATATTTGGGTGCTTACTGTATGCCAGGCCCTATGCTGTACATCCACCCATCCACCCACCCATCCATCCATCCATCTACCTACTCATCTATTCATCCATCCATCTACCTTCCCATCCATCCATCCATCCACCTACCCATCCATCCATCCACTCACCTGTTCATCCATCCATCCACTCATCCATCCATCCACCAATTCACTTACCCATCCATCCACCCACCCTTCCATACAATTATTTATCCACTGGTCCATTTGCCTATCCACACTCATCTTTTATTCAGCACTTACTCCATAGCAAGCCCTGTCCACTGTACAGTGTGACCAAAGGAAATTGTCATTCTCTTTTTAAAAATAATTTTAATTAGTTTTTTTAATAGGACAAAAATAATTCAAATTGCAGAATTAATATATACTTCTCGTAAAATGAGAGCTCTGGTAGCATAGTGCCTAAGGTATTTGACTGCTAACCAGAAGGCTGGCAGTTCAAACCCACCAGCCACTCCTCGGAAGGAAGGTTGGGTGATCTACTTCTGTAGTGATACTGCCTCAGAAGCCTGAGGAGGGATCGCTATGAATTGGATCTGACTCAACAGCAGTGAGTTTGGTTTTTGTATTTTTGGTCTCATAAAATAGAAATGCATACTCTTTTATAGTACACAAATATATTCATGTGTATTATCACTGCAACAATTGGCTCAAACATAGTGACAGTTGTGATGATGGTGCGAGACCCAGCAACATTTCGTTCTGTTGTACATGAGGTCACTATGAGTTGAACGGACTTGACAGTACTTAACAAGAACAATACTTAAAAAGTAAAAAAAAAAAAAAAAATATCGTTTTCTCCCTCTGCAGTACCAGAATTCTTACAATGGCTTGGAATGTATGCTTTAAATAATTTTGTATGCCTTTACTCATGTGTTCACAACATACTGACACACACACAAATAGGTGTGTGCATAGGATCATATAAGACATACTATTCTGGAACTTGCTATTTTTTTCCCTCAACACTGAGTCCTAGAGCAGCCTCGCCCTTTGAGTGACTGCCGTAGTTTTTAACCAGGCTGCCATTATTCACTTTAGCATTACTTCCAGTTTTCCCCTGGTGTAGACAAGACTGTAATGAACATAGACTTTTCTATGTGTATGTTGGGGGTAGATGTCAGAAATAGGCCTTCCTGTTTCAGGAATTTAAATATGACCGATTCCTGAACCCTGACGGATCAGAGAAGAAAGACTTTTACAAGGATGGGAAACGACTGAAGAATTACAACATGCCCTGGGGCGCCGGGCACAATCAGTGTCTCGGGAGGAGTTACGCCATCAACAGCATCAAACAGTGAGCCTGGGGGGGCAGAAGGGGCTGGGGAGGGAGGCTCCTGCTCCACCTGGTTGTCACAGGCCTTCCTCCTGAGGACGAGGGGCTCCACCAGGGCAGTGGCTTAGACAGAGGCCCCAGTGGACAGCCTGCCAGCCATTTCCTGCCTAAAAGTCTATCTAACTTGACCTGCACAGTGTTTTCTTTCTTTTCTTTTTTTTTTTAAGTGTGCTAACTTTTAAAACTCAGAGGAGCTCAGGTAAAAGCCAGGTTTCTGATTGCTTTTGAAATGATCAGATCTGGCAACAAGTTCTCTCCAGGCCTGGTGTCAAAATACCAAGACCCAGAATCCTCAACACTGTCCAGCTGACCGTGTCTACAGCTGCTGCGTCGTGTGCAGAACCCCTTGGCAGGAATGGGCCAAACTTTACCGTGCCTGCTTGGTTACTTGAATGTCTATACAGCAGAAAAGGAGCTCTGGCGGTACAGTGGTTAAATCATTCAGCTGATAACCAAAAGTTTGGCAGTTTGAGCCCACCAGCCACTTGATAGCAAAAAGATGAGGCAGGCCAAGGGTTCCCCTTGGGAACCATATGGAGCAGTTCTGCTCTGTCCTCTAGGAGCGGTATGAGTCAGAATCAACTCAATGGCAATGGGTTGGGTTGGGTCTTCATATGGCAGAAAAGACTGTAGCCTCTACTTCATGAGGTTTTTTGGACAGATAAGAGAGTTAATGGATACTCAGTGTTTAGCATATAGTTTGTGTTTGGATAAATTTGCTAAGTGTGTTGTTTTTATCTCACTTTGTTGTCATGGCAACCCTGGTAAGTAGGTATCAGTCTAAACTGAGCCTAGAGAGGTGCCATGGTCACACACCTTTTAAGTGGAGGTGCCAGGATTCAAACCCAAGTGGTGGTGGTGTTGTTATGTGCCATCGAGTCAGACCCAACTCAAAGCGACCCCTCCTCGGGTCTCTGAGGTGGTATCACTATGGAAGTAGATTGCCCAACCTTCCTTCCAAGGAGTGGCTGGTGGGTTTGAACCGCCAGCCTTCTGGTTAGGAGTCAAGTGCCCTAGGCACTATGCTACCAGAGCTCCTAACCAAATTATATGCCCCTATATATAACCAATTATATAGGGGCATAAAATTTGTCTCTAGTATCCTAGAGCTTCAGCGTTGGAAGGGACCCATGCTAACCTTTCCCCTTGACCATATCCAGAGAGAGAAAACAACTTAGTGAGGGGTCACACATTCCTCAGTGGCATAGCCCAGCCCTGTGCCTCGCTCTTCTGTCCACAGTGTTCTTGTCCTTCTACCCCCAGCCTACCTCTTCCTCATTCATTCGATAAGACTAATGAACCCCGCTGTATTCTTAGTTTTGCCTTAGGTGCCTGAGTGTAGGGGTGGGAGGCTAGTGAGGGGACAGAGTAGTAAAAGACCCAGCCCTGACCCCTACTGACCACAGGCACTAGTAGGGTAAGGTAGGTAGCCAGGAAACCAGTTAACACCAGGCAGGGTTGTTTGAGGGGGTGCTAGTTACATCGTAGACAGAGTCGTGTTGGGTGCCATTGAGTCAATTGTGACTCATACTGACCCTGGTTTTCTTGGCTATAATGTTTATGGAAGCATGTCACCAGCTCCTTTTCCTGGGGAGCCACTGGGTGGATTTGAACCACCAAACTTTCAGTTAGCAGCCCAGGACTTAACTGGTGTGCCTCCAGGCTCCTTACACACAGGGTCACTTTGTCTACTTATTATGAGCATTTTCCAGAAGATGGCAGTAAAGAGTGCTTCTGTATGCAAAATTGGTAGATTTTATGACAATTTTCCCACAGATGGCAGTAAAATGTCTTGAGAGAGGGCTGCCTGTTTCTAATTTTCACAAAGGCATCTTAAGGGTGAACAGCAGCCCTGGCCGGGACAGAGAGGCAGGGCTCCCGGAGTTTGGAGAAAAGGAGGGACATATGTGGGTGGGAAGAGTCAGGAAGAGTGGCTATATCAATCAGCATAAGCTCGGCTAGGCTGCTGTAACAGACAAACCGCACGTCTGGGGGCTTAGAACAACAGAGGTGTGTTTCTCATTCACACAGAGATTCAGGGCCGGGCTCCTTCCATTTCCAGCTCCGTCTCCACATGAGGCTTCCACAGTCACCATGGCAGGAGAGGAGAAAGCTTTAGAATCCCACTAAAAATACAAACCAAACCCACTGCCATCGAGTCGGTTCTGACTCATGGCAACCCTGCGTGCTACAGAGTGGAGCTGCTCCAGAGGCTTTTCTGGGCCATAATCTTTATGAAGGCAGGTCTCCAGGCTTCTCCTCCATGGTGCTGCTGGGTGGGCTTGACCTGCCAACCCTTCAGTTAATAGTCAGTGTAATCCAGGGACCCCTGAGAGTCACACACTAGGTCTTCATTGCTGGGGCCTGGAATTGACACAGGTCACTTCTGCTCACAGCCCAGGAGCCTGTCTAGCCACAGGGCGGCTGGGACATGGGATGAGGGCATGGATTCTTGGTGAATGCCAATGCCTTTGCTCTCTCACTCTCTTCCTTTCCCCCAAGTGCGAGTTGGGGTCAGGCTCCCAGCAGAAAGCTCAGCTTTCCTGCCTTATTCCTGATCATCCCCCAACCTGCCCTTCCCCTTGACACCATCAGTGCCTCTCCCTGCAGATTTGTGTTCCTGGTGCTGGTACACTTTGACCTGGAGCTGACCAACCCGGATGGGGAGATCCCTGAGTTTGACCTCAGCAGATACGGCTTCGGTCTGATGCAACCAGAACATGACATGCCCATTCGGTACCGCATTCGGCCATGAAGTCCAGACAGGTGGGGCCTCTGTGCATCGGCCTCCGCCTAGTCCGCACCCACCTCCCTCCTGTGACTGTATCTCCCCTCAGTGCAGAGCTGGGAACACCCTACTGGCTGCTTTTTTGCTACAAGGCTGTGTCCAGGGGAAGGGAAAGAAGGAAAATGAGAGAAGGCAAATCAAGAGAAGACATTGAAACTCTCGATTATCTGCTGCCAAGTTGTAGTCCTCAAATCAGGCTCTTTCCGTTCCCAGCAAACCTCGCTCCTCTCATCTTAGGGTGGCCACAAAGCTGGTGCAGACGGTAGAACTAGGAATCTTCACTAACAACTGGGGTGGTCTAGGCATCAACCAATCAGAGCAGATGCTGGTCATAAAACGACCATCGGGACCTAGCAGTGTGTCCCTTGAAATCAGCTGTACCCCCAAGTTATTATTGAGCTAGCTAAAGCCAAAGAAGTCAGTCCCCTTAGAGTATCTGCTCCCTCTGATGGCCCATTTGCTGGGCACTGCCCTCACCCCTCCATTCACACTGGCACCTGGGAAAGTGCGGGGGTTTCCAGGGGCATCTGGGGGCAGAACATGGGAACTCTCAGAGTACTGGACTCTGAGAAGCAGCACTCTCCGTTCTAGATGGGCTCGAGATGTTCTTGTGAACTGCTGCCAGGTTGGCCCTTGCCTCGTGGTGACCTCATCCACAAGGTGATTGGTCTGTTGGGATCTGCAGGGTTTTCATTGGCCGATTTTTCAGAAGTAGACCCCCAGGCCTTTCTTCCTAGTCTATCTCAGTCTGAAACCTACTCAGCATCATAGCCACCAGCAAGCCTTCATTGACAGATGGCTGGTGGCTGCGTTTCGGCTGGAAATCGAACCAGGGTCTTCCACACAAAAGGTGAGAGTTCTAGCACTGAACCACCACTGCTCACATGGGGTCAAGATGGTATAGGCTTTTCCAATGCTGAATCTCAGATAAGGAAACTGAGGAAGACAACACTGATGGATGTTTGGGAGGAACCAGCCAGGTGTCCTTAGAGGTCAAGTCAAGGCAGGAGGTGGTGTTGGTTTCTCACCTTCTGGCTCAGCAGTGCCACCTATAAGTAGGATCCAGCCTGCACACGTTTTGTTTGGCCTACACTTAAAAAAAAATTAACATTTAATCTCTGGGAGGGTTGATTCAGATTGTCCAGCTTCTTTTGAAAACTTGGGAGACCTGGCCACACTGGGCCTACATCCCAGTGGCCACCACTGCCCAGAGCTAAGGAGCAGCTGCCCCCTCTTTGACGGGGCCTGTGTGTCTGCTTCACCCGGGTTTAGGTTGGTCTGCTTCCGCATTTGGAGTACCTCCTGGCCCTTGAAGGCATTTGATGTTGAGGCTCCCGTTCTAGTTCTGAAGGGTGGTATCGATGAGTGGGAGCTATCCATCCCATCCTGGGTGTGCTCAGTGATGAGAACTTGCCCTGGCCCCAGCTTTAGGATAAAAAGCAGATAAAGAAGAAACTTTGCTTGGAAACCTTTATTATGATGGTAAATATTACTGTTAACATAGTTCCTGTTCATTGCATGCCCTCCAAATGCCTGTGGCAAGCACCGTAGGAATTGTAAGTGTCCCTGAAGAGAGGACGGTGAAGTCCTCTTTACAGATGAAGAAACAGGCTCAGAGAGGTGAAGGGACTTGCCTGGGGTCACACAGCTCATGGTGAACAGACTCACTGCCCCAGAAGCAAATGCTAGAGGTCAGCTCTTTGTTCTTTGGGATCAAGGGGGTGGGAGTGGGGCAGTTCTGTTTGGCTGATGGAGAGCTGATGGAGCCAGAGGCACCCACGCATGCATACATCGCATGAGACAGATACAGATGAGGTCCCTCTGGCTTTAGCTGACAGGAGAGGAGAGGACCTGAGACCTCCAGATGCTCCCGGGGCTAGCCTCTTCCCGGAGCACTGCCAGGGCTCAGGGGCTTCCCTGACCCTCAGCCTCCAGGCGCCCTCAGGATCCCCCAGACAGATACTGTGATTGGCAGGAGGCGGGATATCCCCAGGGAAACCTATCTTCACGCCTGGGTGACCCCCTGCTTCTTAACTCTGTAGGAAATCAGGGCTGGCAGCCTCGTGTGGGAGGATGGAGCCGGTTTCCATGGCAACCTTCAGCTGCCTCATCCTTGGCCGGGAAAGGAAGGAAGAAGGGCGGGGAAAGAGCTTCAAGGAGCTCTCTCTGCTTGGCTGCAACCCTGGCGAGCTGGGAAGAACCCTGTAGGACTTTCCCTTTCAAGTCAGGGCTGGGCTCTCCTGAGATGAGATTCTCACCTACGTTCAAAAAGGGGGCACTTTAGAGAGTCTCCTTGGAGCCAGATCATTAGGGAATTACTCCAGGAAGAGACACTTCTCCTACCAGGCAGCTCCAGCTGGTACCCCAGATATTAAAGTACAGTTTGGGAGACAATGCTTTAAACACTTCTTTGTTTTAATCTTTCTTTTTCTTTTCTTTCTCTCTCCTTCCTTCTTCCTGCCTGCCGCCAGCCTGGCTGCCTTCCTCCCCACCTCCCCCCTCGCTCCCTCCCTTTCTCTTCCCCTCTCTCCCCCTCCCTCCCTTCCTTCTCTGTCTTAATACAAACTATGGAGAAAAGGGGGAGGTGAGTGTTACAGGTTAGTTACGAGGGTACCTGGACATCATTGTATTTCTTCATGCCTTGCTTCAGAATTACAGAATTGCTGCAATCTGCCAGAAGTACTCTGAGTTGGACCTAATGAAGCCTTTCCTTTCCATCCTCATTATTAGTATTATTTTTGCTATATTTTGTATTGTTATTTACCAAATTATTTTCCTTTAAATAGACTTACTTTTTAAACTTAAAATCACTCTATTTAAAAGGGGAAACTTTGTTTTGATCACTGCGGGTAATGGAGGAGCTCTGGTAGCATAGTGCCTAAGGCACTTGACTGCTAACCAGAAGGCTGGCGGTCCAAACCCACCAGCCACTCCTCAGAAGAAAGGTTGGGCAATCTATTTCCATAGAGCTACTGCCTCGGAAACCCAAGGAGGGGTCGCTATGAGTTGGATTCGACTGGACAGGAGTGAGTTTGGGTTTTTTTGGCTGGTAATGGACAACATGTATCACGCTGCCAGAAATAGACAGTGACTGTGAACTGTCACCTGCTGGGGAGAGGGTGCTCCATGCTGGTGCCGCCAAGGCTCTGGGCCTGAGCCTGTCCCTGCTCTGTTATAACTGAGACCAGCGAGTGGGAGCACGGCCCTGAACACCACGGCACTACCCGGACTCTGTCTCCTCCATGCACCCAGACGGGGTGAAAGGAAGCAGTAAGTGGCTCCCACATGACTCGGCCGTCCACTACACCTGGGCTCTGAGCCACTCAGGGTCATCGGTTCCCCTCAGGGCCCCCCCAGACCTGGAGCTGGTGGTGTCCTGTCCCGCCCGCTCTCCCAATGCAGAAACGGGGCTCCGAGCATTTTGATTTGTTGTTTTTTTATAAACAGGGTTTCGTGAGTACCAGTGATTGTTATGCCTGGCTGTTGTAATAAAGAGTTCTATTTTCATATAACATTGCCAAGTGAGCAACGGTGAAATATATTAAACCATCCTTATTTGTGGCACTGCCTCTGAGTATGATTCAGATCGAGAGCTGGCTTGGTCCGGAATGGCTGGTGCCTGGGAAGAGAGGGACAGACAGCAGCAGTAGAGCACCAGCCACGTGCCTGGCCCTCCCCAAAGCATGTATGATCCCATTAGACAGAGGAAGAAACTGAGGGTCAGAGACGCGAAGGGGCTTGCCCAAGATCACGTGGCTGATCCGTGGTGAACGTGAGATTCAAATGCAGCCCTCTCTGACTCCTGAGACTGTGTTCTGGATGTTTCCATCAGTGATTCTCCTGATGGCAGAGGGGGTAACCGGATGCCCATAGAGAACCTTGGAGAAGGGGGTCTCAGCCCAAGCTAAGACCAGCAGCAAAGGTCTCTGAGATATTGTCTGTCCTTCACCGTGATGTCTGCATCTGTTTTCATATAAAAAGGAAGGGGTTGTAGAGATTAAATTAACAGTGGGAAAAACAAAATAGGGAAAATTGTTTTTTCTCTCAAATTTTTGAGTACAAATGCTCCTCACATCAGTTTCCTCATCTGTGAGGGGACCTGGAGGCACTCATTGGAATTTGATTTGACCAGAAGTACAGATGTCTCAAACAGGGACTGACACCCACCAGACATTTCTTTCTCAGGCAGATACAGCAGACCAGAGGTGCTGTGGCACCTCGGTAATCCCCTAGGCCCTTCCTTGTGGTCCCTCCACCATCCATAACTAGTCGTTTCCATCTCACGGCCCAGTAGGGCTGCTTGGGTTCCAGCCATTTTGTCCACGTTCCAGCCAGCAGGAAGGAAGAAGGAGCAACATCTCTGCTTCCATCCCATTGGTTAGCGTGTAGTCACATGGCACTCTGCAGCATAGGAGGTTGGGAAATGCAGTCTTTCCAAGTAGACCAGTGTATGCTGCTGAAGTGGCACATACTCCATTGAGAAGTGCTGCATTTCATGCTCCGGTTTCCCAGCTATGGTCTCAGCCACATAGCAGAGCCAGGAGGACAGCATTTGGCCTCCCTGAGCCATTGGCATTGTGTATAGTATACTGGGCCTAAGAGGTCCATGGCCCTAAGACTTTGGCCTTTCATACCCTTGTACCGTTAATGGAAAAAAAAAAAAAACTATGAGCTCATCAGACACCCTCTCCCCCTTCCCCCTACACCGTGTTTTATTTTACCAGGTAGGAAACCCATCTGTCATTTGTCTATGAAAGGATATTTTAATACCCTTGAAGTAGAAAGAAGGCCCCTGGTGGCACAGTGACTAAGAACTGGGCTGCTAACTGAATGGTTGGCGGTTCAAACCCACTTAGCGACTCCACAGGAGAAAAGGTGATCTGCTCCTATAAAGATTCCAGCCTAGGAAACACCATGGAGCAGTTCTGCTCTGTCATACTGGGTCGCTATGAGTTCAAGCAACTCCC